TGGGTGCCTCCCGACACCCCCAAACATCTAGGACCCCCAAAAATCTTTAGGACCCCACCCCAAAAAAAAAAAATTTGGGTTTCACTCTCCTACCCCCCATAGGAGTCAATGGGTAGACCTGATGGCCAGGAGATTTGGGACCCCTCCCCACATATCTGAGACCCCCCTCAGCACCCCTGGGTGCTCTCCAAACATCTGGGACCCCCACAAACATCTGGGACCCCCCAAAAAATCTCTGGGACCCCCCACCCCAAAAAAATTTGGGTCCCACCCCTCAATCCCCATAGGAGTGAATGGGTAGACCTGATGGCCAGGACATTTGGGACCCCTCCCCAGATATCTGAGACCCCCAGCACCTCTGGGTGCCCCCAAACGTCTGGGACCCCCAAAACCTCGGGGACCCCCAAAATCTCTGGGACCGCCCCAAAAAATTTGGGTCATAGGAGTCAATGGGTAGACCTGATGGCCAGGAGATTTGGGACCCTCCCCAGATATCTGAGACCCCCAAATACCTGAGACCCCCCTCAGCACCCCTGGGTGCCCCCCAAACATCTGAGACCCCCCAAAAAATCTCTGGGACCCCCCAAAAAATTGGGGTCCCAGCCCCCAACCCCCATAGGAGTCAATGGGTAGACCTGATGGCCAGGACATTTGGGACCCCTCCCCACATATCTGAGACCCCCAGCACCCTGGGTGCTCCCCAAACATCTGGGACCCCCAAAAATCTCTGGGACCCCCCAAAAATCTCTGGGACCCCCCACCCCAAAAAATTGGGGTTCCACCCTCCTACCCCCCATAGGAGTGAATGGGTAGACCTGATGGCCAAGAGATTTGGGACCCCTCCCCCGACATCTAAGACCCCCAAATACCTGAGACCCCCTCAGCACCCCTGGGTGCCCCCAGACACCCCCAAACATCTGGGACCCCCCAAAAATCTTTAGGACCCTCCAAAATTTGGGGTTACCCCCACCCCAATAAGGGTCAATGGGTAGACCTGATGGCCAGGAGATTTGGGACCCCTCCCCACATATCTGAGACCCCCAAATACCTGAGACCCCTCTCAGCATCCTGGGTGCCCCTCTAGACACCCCAAACATCTGGGACCCCCAAAAATCTCTGGGACCCCCACCCCAAAAAATTTGGGTCCCACCCCCCAACCCCCCATAGGAGTCAATGGGTAGACCTGATGGCCAGGAGATTTGGGACCCCTCCCCAGATATCTGGGGACTTTCCCGGGTCTCTGAGACCCCCAGCACCTCTAGGTGCCCCCAAACATCTGGGACCCCAAAAACCTCGGGGACCCCCAAAAATCTCTGGGACCCCCAAAAAATTTGGGTCATAGAAGTCAATGGGTAGACCTGATGGCCAGGAGATTTGGGACCCCTCCCCAGACATCTGAGACCCCCCCTCAGCACCCCTGGGTGCCCCCCAGACACTTAGGACCCCCAAAAACATCTGGGACCCCCCAAAAATCTTCTGGGACCCCCACCCCAAAAAAATTTGGGTCCCACCCCTCAATCCCCATAGGAGTCAATGGGTAGACCTGATGGCCAGGAGATTTGGGACCCCTCCCCACATATCTGAGACCCCCCCCTAGCACCCCTGGGTGCTCCCCAAACATCTGGGACCCCCAAAAAAATCTCTGGGACCCCCAAAAATCTCTGGGACCCCCACCCCAAAAATTTGGGTCCCACCCCCAACCCCCCATAGGAGTCAATGGGTAGACCTGATGGCCACGAGATTTGGGACCCCTCCCCAGATAACTGAGACCCTCCCCAAATATCTGAGACCCCCCCTCAGCACCCCTGGGTGCCCCCCAGACACCCCCAAACATCTGGACCCCCCCAAAAATCTTTAGGACCCCCAAAAAAATTGGGGTCACACCCCCCATAGAAGTCAATGGGTAGACCTGATGGCCAGGACATTTGGGACCCCTCCCCAGACATCTGAGACCCTCCCCAAATATCTGAGACCCCCTCTCAGCACCCCTGGGTGCCCCCCAGACACCCCCAAACATCTGGGACCCCCCAAAAAATCTTTAGGACCCCCCCAAAAAATTGGGGTCCCAGCCCCCATAGGAGTCAATGGGTAGACCTGATGCCCCACACACCTGGGGGGGGTTTTTGGGGGTCCCTGGGGGGCTTTTTGGGGTCCCCTGGGGGGATTTTGGGGTCCCCTGGGGGGATTTTGGGGAGTTTTGGGGGTCCCTTCCCATGGGTGGGATCGGATTTGGGGTGCTGGGGTCTCCTGGGTGGTTTTGGGGTCTCCTGAGGGGGATTCTGGGGTCCCTGAGGGAGATTTTGGGGTCTCCTGGGGGGCTTTTTGGGGTCCCTGGGGATTTTGGGGGGTTTTGGGGGTCCCTCCCCGTGGGTGGGATCGGATTTGGGGTGGTGGGTTCTCCTGGGGGGGATTTTTGGGGTTATTTGGGGGATTTTGGGGTCCCTGGGGGTTTTGGGGTCCCCTGGGGGAGATTTTGGGGTCTCCTGGGGGGCTTTTTGGGGTCCCCTGGGGGGATTTTGGGGAGTTTTGGGGGTCCCTTCCCATGGGTGGGATCGGATTTGGGGTGCTGGGGTCTCCTGGGGGTGTTTTGGGGTCTCCTGGGGGTTTTGGGGTCTCCTGGGGGATTTTTGGGGTCTCCTGGGAGGTTTTTGGGGTCCCTTGGGGCTTTTTGGGGTCTCTGAGGGGGATTTTGGGGTCCCTGAGGGGGATTTTGGGGTCTCCTGGGGGATTTTGGGGTCTCCTGGGGTTTTTGGGGTCCCCTGGGGGGATTTTTGGGGTCCCTGAGGGGGTTTTGGGGTCTCCTGGGAGGTTTTTGGGGTCTCCTGGGGGCTTTTTGGGGTCCCTGGGGGGATTTTGGGGGGTTTTGGGGGTCCCTCCCCGTGGGTGGGATTGGATTTGGGGTGGTGGGGTCTCCTGGGGTGTTTTGGGGGTCCCTGAGGGGGATTTTGGGGTCCCTGAGTGGGATTTTGGGGTCCCAAGGGGGAGATTTTGGGGCTGACGTTGTGGGGTTTTGGGACTCCTTCTTTTGGGGGTTTTTGGGGGGTTTGGGGGTTCAGGGGACCCCCCAGATTTTGGGGACCTCCTGACACCCCCCAGCCTGGAACTGCTCGTGGGGGCAATTTGGGGGTCTCTTGGGAGGGTTTTGGGGTCCCAAGGGGGACATTTCGAGGGCAATTTGGGGGTTTTTGGGACTCCTTCTTTTTGGGGGATTTTGGGGGAGTTTGGGGGTATCAGGACTCCCTAAACTCCCCTGACGCCCCACCCTGGAACTGCTCGTGGGGGCAATTTAGGGGTCTCTTGGGAGGGTTTTGGGGTCCCAAGGAGGACATTTTGGGCGCATTTGGGGGTTTTGGGACTCTTCTTTTGGGGGGGTTTTGGGGGTTCAGGGGACCCCCAGATTTTGGGGGACCCCTGACGCCCCCCAGCCGTGCCACCAGCCTGAGCTCCCCATGGCCATGAGATTCGGCACCTCAAGAGAACGGCCAAGGAGGCCGTGGGGTCTACAGGTCAGGAGGGGATTTTGGGGGATTTGGGGATTAGGGATTTGGGGGTTTGGGGGATTGGGGGTTGAGGGGGACTTGGGGTTTGAGGGGACTTGAGGGTTGGGGGCTGAGGGGGATCTGGGGGCTTTGGAGGATTTGGGGGATTTGGGGGATATGGGGGATTTGGGGCACTAGGGGGATTTGGGGGTGGGGGGTTGAGGGAATTTGGGGGGTTGGGGATTTGGGGGCTTAGGGGACTTAGGGGCTTGGGGGTTGGGGGCCTTTGAGAGGGCTGGGAGGATTTGAGGACATTGGGGACCTGGGGTTTCAGGATCTGGGGGATTTCGGGAGTCTGAGGGAATCTTGGGGGATCTGAGGGGATTTGGGGGATTGAGGAGGATTTGGGGGATTTGGGGGTTTGGGGAGGATCTGGGGCTTTGGGGGTTGAGGGGCTTGGGGGTTTGGGGGATTTGGGGGTTTGAGGGGGATTTTGGGGAGATTTGAGGGGATTTGGGGAGGATTTGGGGGCACTTGGGGGATTTGGGGGATTTGAGGGGGATTTGGGGGTTTTGGGGGTGTTTGGGGGTTTGAGGGGGATTTGGGGGGTTTGGGGGATTTGGGGGTTTGAGGGGGATTTGGGGGATTTGAGGGGATTTGGGGAGGTTGGGGGTGAGGGGATTTGGGGGATTTGGGGGCACTGGGGGGATTTGGGGGATTTGAGAGGGTTTGGGGGTCCCTGGGGGAGTTTCTGGGTGGATTTTTGGGGTTTTTGGTGGTTCCAGGTGATTTTTGGGATTTTGGGGATTTTTGGGGTTTTTGTGGTTTTTGGGGTCTCTGGATTTGGGGGTGACCCCGTGTGACCCCCAGGTCGGCCATCCACGGGCGGGGCCTGTTCTGGGTGGGGGTGGGGTCAGTTTGGGGGTCCCTGGGGGAGTTTTGGGGTGGATTTTGGTCATTTCTAGGTGGATTTTTGGGGTTTTTGGTGGTTCCTGGTGGATTTTTTTGGGGTTTTTTGGGGTTTTTGGGGTCCCTGGATTTGGGGGTGACCCCGTGCCCCCCCCAGGTCGGCCACCCACGGTAGGGGCCTGTTCTGGGGGGTTTCAGGGTGTCCTTTGGGGGTCCCTGGGGTCGTTTTGAGTGGAATTTGGTCATTTCTGGGTGGATTTTTTTTGGATTTTTTTGGATTTTTTGGGGGGTTTTTTGGGGTTTTTGGGGTTTTTGGGGTGCCTGGATTTGGGGGTGACCCCGTGCCCCCCCCAGGTCGGCCACCCACGGGTGGGGCCTGTTCTGGGTGGGGGAGGGGGTCAGTTTGGGGGTCCCTGGGGGAGTTTCTGGGTGGATTTTGGGGGTTTTTGGTGGTTCCGGGGTGGATTTTTGGGGTTTTTGGTGGTTCCTGGGTGGATTTTTTTGGGGTTTTTGGGGTTTTTGGGGTCTCTGGATTTGGGGGTGACCCCGTGTGACCCCCAGGTCGGCCATCCACGGGCGGGGCCTGTTCTGGGGGGTTTCAAGGTGTCAATTTGGGGGTCCCTTTGGGTGTTTTGGGGTGGAATTTGGTCATTTCTGGGTGGATTTTTTTGGGGTTTTTGGATTTTTTTGGTGTTTTTTTGGGGTTTTTGGGGTTTTTGGGGTCTCTGGATTTGGGGGTGACCCCGTGGGACCCCCAGGTCGGTCACCCACGGGTGGGGCCTGTTCTGGGGGGGGGTCCAGGGTGTCCTTGGAGGGTTTCAGGAGCTCCTGGGGTGGATTTTGGTGCTTTCTGGGTGGAATTTGGTCATTTCTGGGTGGATTTTTTTGGGGTTTTTTGGGATTTTCGGGGGTTTTTGGGGTCTCTGGATTTGGGGGTGACCCCGTGTGACCCCCAGGTCGGCCACCCATGGGCAGGGATGTCAATCTGGGGGTCCCTGGGGGCGTTTTGGGGGTTTTTGGTGGTTTCTGGGTGGATTTTTTGGGGGTTTTTTGGGATTTTCGGGGGTTTTTGGGGTCTCTGGATTTGGGGGTGACCCCGTGCCCCCCCCCGGTCGGCCATCCACGGGCAGGGATGTCAATTTGGGGGTCCCTGGGGGAGTTTCTGGGTGGATTTTTTTGGGGTTTTTTGGGGGTTTTTTTGTGGTTTTGGGGGTTTTTGGGGTCTCTGGATTTGGGGGTGACCCCGTGTGACCCCCAGGTTGGCCACCCACGGGCGGGGATGTCAATTTGGGGGTCCCTGGGGGCGTTTCTGGGTGGAATTTGGTGGTTCCTGGGTGGAATTTGGTGATTCCGGGGTGGATTTTTTTGGGGTTTTTGGGTTTTTTTTGGGATTTTCGGGGGTTTTTGGGGTGCCTGGATTTGGGGGTGACCCCGTGCCCCCCCCAGGTCGGGTGGGGCCTGTTCTGGGTGGGGGTGGGGTCAGTTTGGGGGTCCCTGGGGGAGTTTCTGGGTGGAATTTGGTCATTTCTGGGTGGATTTTTTGGGTTTTTGGTGGTTCCTGGGTGGATTTTTTTGGGGTTTTTGGGGGGTTTTGGGGTTTTTGGGGTCTCTGGATTTGGGGGTGACCCCGTGCCCCCCCCAGGTCGGCCACCCACGGGCGGGGCCTGTTCTGGGGGGGGTCCAGGGTGTCCTTTGGGGGTCCCTGGGGGAGTTTCTGGGTGGAGTTTGGGGGTTTTTGGTGGTTCCCTGGTGGATTTTTTTGTGGTTTTGGGGGTTTTTAGGGTGCCTGGATTTGGGGGTGACCCCGTGCCCCCCCCAGGTCGGCCATCCACGGGAGGGGCCTGTTCTGGGTGGGGGTCCAGGGTGTCCTTTGGGGGTTTCAGGAGCTCCTGGGGTCAATTTTGGTGGTTTCTGGGTGCATTTTTGGGGTTTTTGGTGGTTCTGGGGTGGATTTTTTTGTGGTTTTGGGGGTTTTTGGGGTCCCTGGATTTGGGGGTGACCCCGTGCCCCCCCCAGGTCGGCCATCCACGGGAGGGGCCTGTTCTGGGTGGGTTCCAGGGTGTCCTTTGGGGGTCCCTGGGGGAGTTTCTGGGTGGATTTGGGGGGTTTTTGGTGGTTCCGGGGTGGATTTTTTTGGTGTTTTTTCCTGGTTTTTGGGATTTTCGGGGGTTTTTGGGGTCTCTGGATTTGGGGGTGACCCCGTGCCCCCCCCAGGTCGGCCATCCACGGGCAGGGATGTCAATTTGGGGGTCCCTGGGGGAGTTTTGGGGTGGAATTTGGTGCTTTCTGGGTGGAATTTGGTCATTTCTGGGTGGATTTTTTTGGATTTTTGGGGGTTTTTTGGGGTTTTTTGGGGTTTTTGGGGTGCCTGGATTTGGGGGTGACCCCGTGGCCCCCCCAGGTCGGGTGGGGCCTGTTCTGGGGGGTTTTAGGGTGTCCTTTGGGGGTCCCTGGGGGCGTTTTGAGTGGAATTTGGTGGTTCCGGGGTGGATTTTTGGGGTTTTTGGTGGTTCCTGGGGGGTTTTTTGGGGGATTTTGGGGTTTTGGGGTCTCTGGATTTGGGGGTGACCCCGTGCCCCCCCCAGGTCGGCCACCCACGGGCGGGGCCTGTTCTGGGTGGGGGTGGGGTCAGTTTTAGGAGCTCCTGGGGGAGTTTCTGGGTGGAATTTGGTCATTTCTGGGTGGATTTTTTTGGGTTTTTGGGATTTTCGGGGGTTTTTGGGGTGCTCTGGATTTGGGGTGATCCCGTGCCCCCCCCAGGTCGGGTCACCACGGGCGGGGCCTGTTCTGGGTGGGGGTGGGGTCAGTTTGGGGGTCCCTGGGGGAGTTTCTGGGTGGATTTTGGTCATTTCTGGGTGGATTTTTTTGGGGTTTTGGGGGTTTTTTTTGGGGTTTTTGGGGTCTCTGGATTTGGGGGTGACTCTGTGTGACCCCCAGGTCGGCCACCCATGGGCGGGGCCTGTTCTGGGTGGGGTTAGGGGGTCAGTTTGGGGGTCCCTGGGTCAATTTGGGGGTCCCTGGGGGAGTTTCTGGGTGGATTTTGGGGGTTTTTGGTGGTTCCGGGGTGGATTTTTTTGGGGTTTTTTGGGGTTTTTGGGGTCTCTGGATTTGGGGGTGACCTGTGCCCCCCCAGGTCAGCTACCCACGGGTGGGACCTGCTTTGGGGGGCTAGGGGGTCAGTTTGGGGGTCCCTGGGGGAGTTTCTGGGTGGATTTTGGGGGTTTTTGGTGGTTCCTGGGTGGATTTTTTTGGGGTTTTTTTTGGGTTTTTGGGGTCTCTGGATTTGGGGTGACTCTGTGCCTCTCAGGTCGGCCATCCACGGGTGGGGCCTGTTCTGGGTGGGGAGGGGGTCAGTTTGGGGTCCCTGGGAGTTTCTGGGTGGATTTTTGGGGTTTTGGGTGGTTCCTGGGTGGATTTTTTTGGGTTTTTTTGGGATTTTCGGGGGTTTTTGGGGTGCCTGGATTTGGGGGTGACCCCGTGCCCCCCCCAGGTCGGCCACCCACGGGCGGGGCCTGTTCTGGGTGGGGGTGGGGTCAGTTTTAGGAGCTCCTGGGGGGCGTTTTGGGGTGGAATTTGGTGCTTTCTGGGTGGAATTTGGTGGTTCCTGGGTGGATTTTTTGGGGGTTTTTTGGGGTTTTTGGGGTGCCTGGATTTGGGGGTGACCCCGTGCTCCCCCCAGGTCGGCCACCCATGGGCAGGGATGTCAATCTGGGGGTCCCTTGGGGCGTTTTGGGGGTTTTTGGTGGTTCCGGGGTGGATTTTTTTGGATTTTTTCTGGGGATTTTTGGGGTTTTTTGGGGTTTTTGGGGTGCCTGGATTTAGGGGTGACCCCGTGCCCCCCCCAGGTCAGCCATCCACGGGAGGGGCCTGTTCTGCAAGCGGAACATCGAGGCAGGGGAGATGGTGATCGAGTACTCCGGCATCGTCGTCCGCTCCGTCCTCACCGACAAGAGGGAGAAGTTCTACGACAGCAAGGTGGGCACGGGGACCCCCAAAATGGGCTGGGGGACCCCCAGAACGGGGTGGGAGACCCCCAAAATGGGTTGGAGGGTCCGAAAACGGGTTAGGGGACCCCCAAAATGTGTTTGGAGACCCCCAAAACGGGTTTGGAGACCCCCAAAATGGGCTGGGGGATTCCCAGAATGGGTTTGGGGACCCCCAAAATGGGGTAGGGGACCCCCAAAATGGGGTGGGGGAGCCCAAAATGGGGTGGGGAGCCCAAAATGGGGTGGGGGACCTGAAAATGGGGTGGGGGCCTGAAAATGGGGGTGAGGAGGCCTGAAAATGGGGGAGAGGGAGCCCAAATGGGCTGGGGCCTGGAAAATGGGGAGGGGGCCTGGAAATGAGTTGGGGGCCCTGAAAATGGGGAGGGGGGCCCAAAATGGGGTGGGGGCTCTGAAAATGGGGAGGGGGAGCCTGAAAATGGGGAGGGGGAGCCTGAAATGGGGAGGGGGAGCCCGAAAATGGGGTGGGGGAGCCTAAAAATGGGGAGGGGGAGCCTAAAAATGGGGGAGGGGGACCCCAAAATGGGGGAGGGGGGCCTAAAAATGGGGTGGGGACCCCAAAAATGGGGAGGGGGAGCCTGAAATGGGGAGGGAGAGCCTAAAATGGGGAGGGGGAGCCTAAAATGGGGAGGGGAGCCTAAAAATGGGGGTGGGGGAGCCTAAAAATGGGGGAGGGGACCCCAAAATGGGGTGGGGAGCCTAAAATGGGAGGGGAGCCTAAAAATGGGGTGGGGAGCCTAAAATGGGGAGGGGGGCCTAAAAATGGGGTGGGGAGCCTAAAAATGGGGAGGGGACCCCAAAATGGGGTGGGGGAGCCTAAAATGGGGAGGGGGAGCCTAAAAATGGGGTGGGGGAGCCTAAAAATGGGGGAGGGGAGCCTAAAATGGGGTGGGGAGCCCAAAAATGGGGTGGGGGCCTTAAATGGGGAGGGGATTCCAAAAATGGGGTGGGGGAGCCCAAAAATGGGGTGGGGAGCCCAAAAATGGGGAGGGGAGCCTAAAAATGGGGAGGGGGCCTAAAAATGGGAGGGGGGCCTAAAAATGGTGATAGGGAGCCCAAAAAAGGGGATGGAGAGCCCAAAACGAGGAAGGACCCCAAAAATGGGGATAGGGAGCCCAAAAAAAGGGGATGGAGAGCCCAAAACGGGGAAGGGACCCCAAAAATGGGGATAGGGAGCCCAAAAAAAGGGGATGGAGAGCCCAAAAAATGGGGTGGGAGAGCCCAAAAAATGGGGTGGGGGACCCCAAAACTGGGAAGGGACCCCAAAAATGGTGATAGGGAGCCCAAAAAAAGGGGATGGAGAGCCCAAAAAAAGGGGATGGAGAGCCCAAAACGGGGAAGGGACCCCAAAAATGGTGATAGGGAGCCCAAAAAAAGGGGATGGAGAGCCCAAAAATGGGGTGGGGGAGCCCAAAAATGGTGATAGGGAGCCCAAAAAAAGGGGATGGAGAGCCCAAAAAAAGGGGATGGAGAGCCCAAAAAAAGGGGATGGAGAGCCCAAAAAATGGGGTGGGAGAGCCCAAAACTGGGAAGGGGTCCCAACCCCTGACCATCTCCCCCCTGTCCCCTTTCCCCCCCCATCCGCAGGGCATCGGGTGCTACCTGTCCCCAACCTCTCAATGGTGTCCCCAACCCCCCAATGACGCCCCCAACCCCTCAATGGTGTCCCCAACCCTCAATGGTGTCCCCAACCCCTCAATGATGTCCCCAACCCCCAATGACGCCCCCAACCCCTCAATGACGCCCCCAACCCCTCAACGACGCCCCACCCCTCAATGACGCCCTAACCCCTCAAGGACGTCCCCAACTCCCCTGACCATGTCCCCAACCCCCAATGACGCCTCCAACCCTCAATGACGTCCCCCTGTCCCCCTTTCCCCCCACCGCAGGGCATCGGGTGCTACCTGTCCCCAACCCTCAATGATGTCCCCAACCCTCAGTGATGTCCCCAACCCCTCATGGTGTCCCCAACCCCTCAATGACGCCCCCCTGTCCCCCCATCCCCAGGGCATCGGGTGCTACCTGTCCCCAACCCCCAATGACGTCCCCAAATCCCTGACCATGTCCCCAACCCTCAATGATGCCCCCAACCCTCAATGATGTCCCCAACCCCTCAATGATGCCCCCAACCCTCAATGACGCCCCAACCCCTCAATGACGCCCCCTGTCCCCTTTCTCCCCCAGGGCATCGGGTGCTACATGTTCCGCATCGACGAGGCGGGAGGTGGTGGACGCCACCATGCACGGCAGCGCCGCGCGCTTCATCAACCACTCGTGCGAGCCCAACTGCTACTCGCGCGTCATCCACGTGGAGGGCCACAAGCGCATCGATCATCTTCGCCCTGCGCCGCATCCTGCGCGGCGAGGAGCTCACCTACGACTACAAGTTCCCCATCGAGGAGCCGGCGCTAGCTGCCCTGCAACTGCGGCGCCGCGCTGCCGGCGCTCCTCAACTGATTTACCCTCCCTCCCCTCCTCGGGGTCCTTCTGGGGGTCTGGGGTCTGGGGGTGAAGATTTGGGGGTCTGGGGGGGTGGAGATTTGGAGGGCTCAAGAGTGGAGATTTGGGGGTATCAAGAGTGAAAGTGAAGATTTGGAGGCCACAAGAGTGAAGATTTGGGGGTCTGGGGGGTGAAGATTTGGGGGTCACAAGAGTGAAGATTTGGGGGTCTGGGGGTCTCAAGAGTGGAGATTTGGGGGTCTGGAGGGTGGAGATTTGGGGGTCTCAAGAGTGGAGATTTGGAGGGCTCAAGAGTGGAGATTTGGGGGGTCTCGAGAGTGATTTGGGGGTCACAAGAGGGGTGGAGATTTGGAGGCCACAAGAGTGGAGATTTGAAGGTCTCGAGAGTGAAGATTTGGAAGGCTCAAGAGTGGAGATTTGGGGGTCTCAAGAGTGGAGATCTGGGGGTCTCAAGAGTGGAGATCTGGAGGTCTCGAGAGTGGAGATTTGGAGGTCTGGAGGGTGAAGATTTGGAGATTTGGGAGGTCTCAAGAGTGGAGATTTGAAGGTCTCAAGAGTGAAGATTTGGGGGTCTCAAGAGTGGAGATTTGGAGGTCTCAAGAGTGAAGATTTGGAGGTCTCAAGAGTGAAGATTTGGGGGTCTGGAGGGTGGAGATTTGGAGGGCTCAAGAGTGGAGATTTGGGGGCCACAAGCGCATCGTCATCTTCGCCCTGCGCCGCATCCTGCGCGGCGAGGAGCTCACCTACGACTACAAGTTCCCCATCGAGGAGCCGAGCGCCAGCTGCTCCTGCAACTGCGGCGCCCGCCGCTGCCGCCACTTCCTCAACTGATTTACCCCTCCCTGGGGTCCTTCTGGGGGTCTGGGGGTGAAGATTTGGGGGTCTGGAGGGGTGGAGATTTGGGGGTCTGGAGGGGTGGAGATTTGGGGGTCTGGAGGGTGGAGATTTGGGGGTCTCAAGAATGGAGATTTGAAGGTCTCAAGAGTGAAAGTGAAGATTTGGAGGCCACAAGAGTGGAGATTTGGGGGTCTCAAGAGTGAAGATTTGAAGGTCTCGAGAGTGGAGATTTGGAGGTCTCAAGAGTGAAGATTTGAAGGTCTGGGGGGTGGAGATTTGGGGGTCTCAAGAGTGGAGATTTGGGGGTCTGGAGGGTGAAGATTTGGAGGTCTCAAGAGTGGAGATTTAGGGGTCACAAGAGGGGTGGAGATTTGGGGGTCTCAAGAGTGGAGATTTGGGGGTCTCAAGTGTGAAGATTTGGGAGTCTGAGGGGTGGAGATTTGGAGGTCTCAAGAGTGAAGATTTGGGGGTCACAAGAGTGAAGATTTGGGGGTCTGGGGGTCTCAAGAGTGGAGATTTGGGGGTCTCAAGAGTGGAGATTTGGGGGTCTCAAGAGTGGAGATTTGAAGGTCTCGAGAGTGGAGATTTGGAGGTCTCAAGAGTGAAGATTTGGGGGTCTCAAGAGTGGAGATTTGGGGGTCTCAAGAGTGGAGATTTGGAGGTCTCAAGAGTGAAGATTTGGGGGTCTGGGGGGTGAAGATTTGGGGGTCTCTCGAGAAGGTGGAGGGGGCTCCTGGGGGTGGTGGAGGTGGTGGTGGTTGGTTGAGGAGGAGGCAGTTGAAGGGTCAAGAAGGAGGCGAGTAGGGGTCGACCAGGAGGAGTGGGGGTCGACCACGAGACTTGGGGGTCAACCAGGAGTCTTGGGGGTCAACCAAGAGTTATGGGGGTCAACCAGAAGACTTGGAGGTCAACCAAGACTCCTGGAGGTCAACCAAGAGTTATGGAGGTCAACCAAGAGTTATGGGGGTCAACCAAGAGTTATGGGGGTCAACCAGGAGGAGTGGGGGTCGACCAGGAGGAGTGGGAGTTGACCAGAAGACTTGGGGGTCAACCAGGAGTCTTGAAGGTTGACCAAGAGTCTTGGAGGTCAATTGGAAGTCATGGGGGTCAACCACAAGACTTGGAAGTCAACCAGAAGTCATGGGGGTCAACCAAGAGTCCTGGAGGTCAACCAAGAGTTCTGGAGGTCAACCAAGAGTCCTGGAGGCCAACCAAGAGTTTTGGAGGTCAACCAAGAGTTTTGAAGGTCAACCAAGAGTTATGGAAGTCAACCAAGACTTATGGAGGTCAACCAAGAATTTTGGGGGCCATCCAAGAGTCATGGAGATCAACCAAGAGTCCTGAAGGTCAACCAAGAGTCATGAAGGTCAACCAAGAGTCATGAAGGTCAACCAAGAGTCCTGGAGATCAACCAAGAGTCCTGGAGGTCAACCAAGAGTTTTGAAGGTCAACCAAGAGTCCTGGAGGTCAACCAAGAGTCACGAAGGTCAACCAAGAGTTTTGAAGGTCAACCAAGAGTCCTGGAGGTCAACCAAGAGTTATGGAGGTCAACCAAGAATTGTCAAGGTCAACCAAGAGTTGTGGAGGTCAACCAAGAGTTGTGGAGGTCAACCAAGAGTTTTGGAGGTCAACCAAGAGTCCTGGAGGCCAACCAAGACTCATGAAGTCCAACCAAGACCCCTGAAGGCCAACCAGTAGTTGAGGTGCCCCCAAAGCCCCCCGAGACCCCTCCACTCAACTGGGAGGACCCAAAAATCTTTGGGCTCAACCTGGAGCCCACCCAGTGCTCCCAAAGCCCCCCAAGATGCCTCCAACTCCCCCCAAAACACCACCTGGAGACCCCCCCCCATCCCCCCCTTAGAGACCCCCAACCCCCTCCCAAAAACCTGACCCTCCCCCCCCAAAAAGTGGGTCCAGCTCCGCCCCTGCGGCGCTTTTGGGGACTTTTTGGGTGTTTTTTTGGTTTTTTGGGGTTTTCTCGGGTTTTGTATCTTAATTTAAACAATAAAGACTCTGATTGGTCCTCGTGGCTCTCTGTTTGTTGGGGGAGGGGGAACCCCAAAATCCCTTCCCCACCTCGGGACCCCCAAAATCCTCGAGAACTCCCCCAAAAACGTCCATTTACGGTCGTTTTTGGGGGCTCCAAATCCCATCATGCCCCAATAGATGAGAAATTAATTAACAGAGGTGTTAATTGGAAGGGAGGGGCTTATTGGGCAGGGGGAGGGGGTTTGGGGTCTCTGGTGGCCTCTCCCCAAAACTCCTCCCCAACGGGAGCGAGGAGGGGCGGGGTTAAAGGGGAGGCAAAATGGGCGGGCTAAAGAGAACAGGAACCAATGGGAGGTGAGGGGGCGGGCCAAGGGGATGAGGAGGCGGGGTTAAAGGGGAGGCAAATGGGCGGGCTAAAGAGAACAGGAACCAATGGGAGGTGAGGGGGCGGTGCCAGGGGGATGAGGAGGGGCGTGGCTGAAAGGAAAAGGACCAATAGGAGTGAAGGTGGGCGGGGTTAAAGGAGTAAGAACCAATGGGAGGTGGGAGGGGCGGGGCTAAAGGGGTGGGGGAGGGGCATTTTTAGGGTTTTAAAGACGCTTTTTAATGTTAAAAAAAAAAGGAGAGAATAAAAAACATCCCTTAAAATTTATTTTCCAAATTTTATTCGCTTTTGTTTCTCATTTTTGCTCATTTTTTTATCTTTATTATTTTTTAATTTTTTTTTTCATTTTTTTTTATATCAAAACCGGTTTATGTCAAAATTTTATATCAAAATTTTATATCAAAATTTTGTATCAAAATTTTACATCAAAACCAGTTCAAACAATTCCAAAAAAAAAAAAGAATTCCAACGGTGACAAAACCAATCAATTAATTATTAACAATAGATAATGAATTTATAAATTATTAAATTATTACATTAAGAAAATAATAAAGTAATTAATAAATTAAATCCTTAATAAACTTGATTAATTATTAATAATAGGTCATAAGTTTATAAACTATTAAAACATCAAGAAATTAATAAATCAATTAATAAATTAAATCCTTAGTCAACTTGATTAATTATTAATAATAGGTAATAAATGTATAAATTATTAAATTAATATATTAAGAAATGAATCAACTAATTAATAAATTAATTAACCAACTAATTAGTTGACCTGGCATCAAAATATTCACAGAATAGGGCTCAGAATTTACACAATTTTTTAAAAAATATTGATTTTTAACCCCTTATTTCTCAATTATCTGAAGGGGGCGGAGCCAGACACGCCCCCTGGGCCGTGATTGGTCCTTCTGGAGGGGTGGAGTCACCGGTGGGCGTGGCCTCTGCAAGCCCCGCCCCCCCGGCGGGCAGGGCCGTCTGGTAAATCACCACGGGCTGAGAGAGGGGGGGAGGGGGCGTGGTCAGAGCCAGGCCACGCCCCCCGGAGGAAAACCACACCCCCTTTGCCTTATATGGAAGTTCTAGCCCCTCCCAGCTCATTAGCATGTCATGGCCACGCCCCTTTCCATATAAGGACCTCCCCTCCCTTTAGGCCACGCCCCTTTCCATATAAGGACCTCCCCTTCCTTTTAGGCCACGCCCCTTTCCATATAAGGACCTCCCCTTTAGACCACGCCCCTTTCCATATAAGGACCTCCCTTCTCCTTAGACCACGCCACTTCCCATATAAGGACCTTCCCTTTAGGCCACGCCCATTTCCATATAAGAACCTCCCCTTAGGCCACGCCCCTTTCCATATAAGGCCCTCCCCTTCCCTTTAGGCCACGCCCCTTCCTTTTAGGCCACGCCCCTTTCTATATAAGGAACTCCCCTTCCTTTTAGGCCCCGCCCCTTCCCTTTAGGCCACGCCCCTTTCCATATAAAGAGCTCCCCTTCCCTTTAGGCCACGCCCCTTTCCATATAAGGACCTCCCTTGTAGGCCACGCCCCTTTCCATATAAGGACCTCCCTTCCTTTAGGCCACGCCCCCTTTCCATATAAGGACCTCCCCTTTAGGCCACGCCCCCTTTCCATATAAGGATCTCCATTGTAGGCCACACCCCTTTCCATATAAGCACCTCCCCTTCCATTTAGGCCACGCCCCCTTTCCATATAAGGACCTCCCCTCCCTTTAGGCCACGCCCCTTTCCATCTAAGAGCCTCCCCTTCCATTTAGGCCACGCCCCTTTCCATATAAGGCCCTCCCCTTCCCTTTAGGCCACGCCCCTTTCCATATAAGGACCTCCCTTTAGGCCACGCCCCTTTCCATATAAGAACCTCCCCTTCCTTTAGGCCACGCCCCTTTCCATATAAGGCCCTCCCCTTCCCTTTAGGCCACGCCCCTTTCCATATAAGAACCTCCCCTTCCCTTTAGGCCACGCCCCTTTCCATATAAGGACCTCCTCCCTTTAGGCCACGCCCCCTTCCATATTAGACCCTCCCCTTCCCTTTAGGCCACGCCCCTTTCTAAATAAGGCCCTCCCCTTCCTTTAAGCCACACCCCTTTCCATATAAGACCCTCCTTCCTTTAGGCCACGCCCTTTCCATATAAGGACCGCCCCTTCCCTTTAGGCCACGCCCCTTTCCATATAAGGACCTCCCTTCTCCTTAGACCACGCCCCTTTCCATATAAGGACCTCCCCTTCCATTTAGACCACGCCCCTTTCCATATAAGGACCTCCCCTTTCCTTTAGACCACGCCTTTCCATATAAGACCTCCCCTTCCCTTTAGACCACACCTCTTTCCATATAAGGCCCTCCCCTTTCCTTTAGGCCACGCCCCTTTCCATATAAGGACCTCCCCTTCCCTTTAGGCCACGCCCCTTTCCATATAAGGACTTCCCCTTTAAACCACGCCCCTTTCCATATAAGGACCTCCCCTCCCTCTAGGCCACGCCCCTTTCCATATAAGGAACTCCCTTATAGGCCACGCCCCTTTCCATATAAGGCCCTCCCCTTCCCTTTAGGCCACGCCCCTTTCCATATAAGGCCCTCCCCTTCCCTTTAGGCCACGCCCCTTTCCATATAAGGCCCTCCCCTTCCCTTTAGGCCACGCCTTTCCATATAAGCCCTCCTTCCTTTAGACCACGCCCCTTTCCATATAAGGACCTCCCCTTCCCTTTAGGCCACGCCCCTTTCCATATAAGGAAATCTTCTTGTTCTAGGCCACGCCCCTTCGTGTTTAAGCCCCTCCCCTTTTCCCGAGGCCACGCCCCCCTGAGGCCACGCCCCCCTCTTCACTCACTGGCTGGCTCCGTTTGGGGCGGGCCCGGGAGGCGGCGACGGCGCCAATCACGGCAAGCCCCGCCCCCGCCGCCGATGACGTCATCACCAGGAGGTGGGTGCCCAGCAGGACCCGCTGGGAGGGAGGCAAAAATCAATCAAAATTGGGGGAAATTGGGTAAAAAATGAGGTTAAAATTGAGATGGAAATGAGATAAATGTGAGGTGAAATTGAGGAGAAAATGAGCCAAAATTGAGTCAAGAATTGAGATAAAAACGTGTCAAAATTGAGGTAAAATTGAGGAAAAAATGAGCCAAAATTGAGCCAAAAATGAGTCAAAATTGAGTTAAAAATTGAGATAAAGATGTGCCAAAAGTGACTGAAAAATGAGTTAAAATTGAGTCAAAAATTGAGATAAAAATGTGCCAAAAGTGAGGAAAAATTGAGCTAAAAGTGAGTCAAAATTGAGTTAAAAATTGAGATAAAAATGAGCCAAAAGTGACCAGAAATTGAGGGGAAAATGAACCCAAAATTAAGTCAAAAATTGAGATAAAAATGAGCCAAAAGTGACCCAAATTTGAGAGAAAAATGAACCCAAAATTGAGTAAAAAATGACTCAAAATTGAGTTGAAAATTAAGCCAAAATTGAGTCAAAAATGAAACCAAAATTGAGTCAAAAACTGAACCAAAATTGAGTTAAAAATTGAGCCAAAGTTGAGTAAAAAATGACCCAAAATTGAGTCAAAAACTGACCCAAAATTGAGCCAAAAATGTCCCAAAATTGAGTCAAACACCTGACCCAAAACTGAGCTAAAAATTGAGCCAAAAATGACCCAAAATTGAGTCAAAACTTGACCCTACATTGAGTCAAAAACTGACCTAAAATTGAGTCAAAAACTCACACAAAATTGAGTTAAAAATTGAGACAAAAATGACCCAAAATTGGGCCAAAAACCTGACCCTAAATTGAGTCAAAAACTGACCCAAAAGTGAGTCAAAAATTGAGACAAAAATGAGTGGAAATTCAGTCAAAACTTGACCCTAAATTAAGTCAAAAACTGACACAAAATTGAGTCAAAATTGACCCAAAATTAAGTTAAAAATTGAACTAAAAATGATCCCATATTTAGTCGAAAATTGACTCAAAATTGAGCCAAAAACTTGCACAAAACTGAGTCAAAATTGAGTCAAACTGACCCAAAATTGAGTCAAAATTGACCCAAAATTGAGTTAAAGTTGACCCAAATATGACCCAAAAATTGACTCAAAACTGACCCAAAATTGAGTTAAAAATTGAGCCAAAAATGACCCAAAATTGGGACAAAAACTGACCTAAAATAGAGCTAAAAATTGAGCCAAAAATGACCCAAAATTGGGCCAAAAACTGACCCAAAATTGAGTCAAAAACTCACAGAAAATTGAGTTAAAATTGACCCAAAAATGACCCAAAAACTGACTCCAAACTGAGCCAAAATTGAGCCAAAATTGAGCCAAAATTGACCAAAAAATGACCCAAAAATGACCCAAAATTGACCCAAAACCCCCCAAACCAACACCAAAGTGCCCCAAAATTGCCCAAAACTCCCCAAAATGCCCCAAAGTGCCCCAAAACCAACCCAAACCGGCCCCAAACTGACCCAAACCCCCCCCAAACTCCCCAAAACACCCCAAAATGCCCCAACCTCCCCCAAAATTGACCATAACTGACCCCAAAACCCCCCAAAAACTGCCCCAAACTGGCCCCAAAACCCCAAAAACCAACCCCAAACTGCCCCAAACCGACCCAAAACTGCCTCAACCCCCCCAAAAACTGACCATAAGTGACCCAAAATTGACCCAAACTGCCCCAAAATCCCCCCAAAACCCCCTGAAAATTGACCAGAATTGATCCCAAACTGACCCCAAATCCCCCAAAATTGACCAGAATTAATCCCAAACTGACCCCAAAACCCCCCAAAATTGACCAGAATTGATCCCAAACTGCCCCAAAATCCCCCAAAACCCCCCAAAATTGACCAGAATTGACCCCAAACCAACCCCAAACTGCCCCCAAAACCCCAAAACCCCCCAAAATGACCCCAAAATCCCCTAAAACCAACCCCAAACTGCCCCAAACCGACCCAAAACTGCCTCAACCCCCCAAAAACTGACCATAAGTGACCCAAAATTGACCCAAACTGACCCCAAACCCCCAAACTGCCCAAACTGACCCCAAATCCCCCAAAACCCCCAAAACTGACCACTAAGTGACCCAAAATTGACCCAAAAATGACCCAAAACTGACCCAAAACCCCCTAAACCAACCCCAAACCCCCCAAAACCCTCCCGAAAATTGACCAGAATTGATCCCAAACCCCCAAAAACCCCTCAAAACCCCCAAAATGCCCCAAACTGACCCAAAACCCCCCAAAACCTCCCCAAAACTGACCATAAGTGACCCAAAATTGACCCAAAAATGACCCAAAATTGACCCAAAACTGACCCAAAACCCCCCAAAATTGACCAGAATTGATCCCCAAACCCCCCAAAACTCCCCAAAATGCCCCAAAATTGACCAAAATTGATCCCAAACTGCCCCCAAATCCCCCCCAAACTGACCATAAGTGACCCAAAATTGACCCAAAAATGACCCAAAATTGACCCAAAACTGACCCAAAACCCCCCAAACCAACCCCAAACTTCCCCAAAACTGCCCAAAACGCCCCAAAATGCCCCAAACCCCCCTCACCTGCGCGGGGGGCCCGAGGTGGAAGCAGGAGATGCAGCTGTAGATGAGGAGCAGCCCCTGCAGCCCCAGGGCCAGGAACGACAACACCGAGGCCACCACGGCCAAAGCCAGCGCTGCCCGAGCCTGGGGGGCACAAAATCCGTTAAAAATGAGCCAAAATTGGGTTAAAATCGAGAAAAAATTGGGTTAAAGTTGAGAAAAAATTGGGTTAAAAATTGGGTTAAAATTGGGTTAAAATTGGGTTAAAAATTGGGTTAAAATTGAGCCAAAATTGGGTTAAAATCGAGCCAAAATTGGGTTAAAAATGACCCCAAATTGGGTTAAAAATTGGGTTAAAATTGGGTAAAAATTGAGTAAAAATCGGGTTAAAAATTGAGTAAAAATTGGGTTAAAATCGAGCCAAAATTGGGTTAAAATTGACCCAAAATTGGGTTAAAATTGAACCAAAATTGGGTTAAAATTGAGACAAAATTGGGTTAAAACTGAGCCAAAATTGGGTTAAAAATTGGGTCAAAATTCAGCCAAAATTGGGTTAAAATTGAGCCAAAATTGGGTTAAAAATTGGGTTAAAATTGGGTTAAAAATGAGGCAAAATTGGGTTAAAATTGAGTAAAAATTGGGTTAAAATTGAGGCAAAATTGGGTTAAAAATTGAGGCAAAATTGGGTTAAAATTGAGCCAAAATTGGGTTAAAATTGAGGCAAAATTGGGTTAAAATCGAGTAAAAGTTGGGTTAAAAATTGGGTTAAAATTGAGCCAGAATTGGGTTAAAAATTGGGTTAAAATTGAGCCAAAATTGGGTTAAAATTGGGTTAAAATTGAGGCAAAATTGGGTTAAAATTGAGGCAAAATTGGGTTAAAATTGAGTAAAAATTGTGTTAAAATTGAGCCAAAATTGGGTTAAAACTTGAGTCAAAATTGGGTTAAAATTGAGGCAAAATTGGGTTAAAAACTGGGTTAAAATTGAGGCAAAATTGGGTTAAAAATTGGGTTAAAATTGAGCCAAAATTGGGTTAAAATTGAGTAAAAATTGGGTTAAAATTGGGTTAAAAATTGTGTTAAAATTGAGCCAAAATTGGGTTAAAACTTGAGTCAAAATTGGGTTAAAATTGACCCCAAATTGGGTTAAAATTGGGTTAAAATTGGGTTAAAATTGGGTTAAAATTGAGACAGAATTGGGTTAAAATCGGGTTAAAATTCAGACAAAATTGGATTAAAAATTGGGTTAAAAATTGGGTTAAAATTGAGCCCAAATTGGATTAAAATTGGGTTAAAATTGGGTTAAAATTGGGTTAAAATTCAGACAAAATTGGATTAAAGTTGAGCCAAAATTGGGTTAAAAATTGGGTTAAAATTGGGTTAAAATCGAGCCAGAATTGGGTTAAAAATTGGGTTAAAAATGGGTTAAAATTTGGGTTAAAATTGGGTTAAATTTGGGTTAAAAATTGGGTTAAAATTGGGTTAAAATCGAGTAAAAGTTGGGTTAAAAATTGGGTTAAAATTGAGACAAAACTGGGTTTAAAATTGGGTTAAAATTGAGCCAAAATTGGGTTAAAAATTGAGGCAAAATTGGGTTAAAAATTGGGTTAAAATTGGGTTAAAAATTGGGTTAAAATTGGGTTAAAATTGGGTTAAAAATTGGGTTAAAATTGAGACAAAATTGGGTTAAAAATTGGGTTAAAATTGGGTTAAAATTGAGGCAAAATTGGGTTAAAATCGAGTAAAAGTTGGGTTAAAAATTGGGTTAAAAATTGGGTTAAAATTGGGTAAAAATTGGGTTAAAATCGAGCCAAAATTGGGTTAAAATTGAGCCAGAATTGGGTTAAAATTGGGTTAAAATTGAGTTTAAATTAAGCCAAAATGGAGCCAAAATTGGGTTAAAATCAAGCCAGAATTGGGTTAAAATTGACCCCAAATTGGGTTAAAAATTGGGTTAAAATTGGGTAAAAATTGGGTTAAAATCGAGCCAAAATTGGGTTAAAATTGAGCCAGAATTGGGTTAAAATTGGGTTAAAATTGAGGCAAAATTGGGTTAAAAATTGGGTTAAAATTGGGTTAAAAATTGGGTTAAAATTGGGTTAAAATTGAGCCCAAATTGGGTTAAAAAATGGGTTAAAATTGGGTTAAAAATTGGGTTAAAATTGGGTTAAAATTGAGTCAAATTTGAGTTAAAGTTGAGCAAAAATTGGGTTAAAAATTGGGTTAAAATTGAGCCAAAATTGGGTTAAAATCGAGCCAGAATTGGGTTAAAATTGGGTTAAAAATTGGGTTAAAATTGAGCCAAAATTGGGTTAAAATTGAGCCGGAAGTGACTCAAAAAAAAGGGGTTGAAATTGGTTGGAAAATGAAACTCCCCCAAATCCCCCCCAAAATCCCCCCCAAATTCCCCAAATCCCCCCAAATCTCCCAAATCCCCCTTAGACCCTCCCAAATCTCCCCAAACCTCCATCAAATTCCCTCAAATCCCCCCAGTACCCCCAGGACACCCCAAATCCCCCCAGGACCCCCTAAATCCCCCCCAACCCCCCCAAACCCCACAAATCCCCCCTAAATCCCCACAAATCCCCCAGGACCTCCCAAATGCCCCCAAACCCCCCCTAAATCCCCCTAGACCCCACAAATCTCACCCCTGCCCTTGGAGGGTCCTCAGCCATCGCCGCCAGCACCGCCCAGCACCATCAGCTTTTTGGGGGAGGGGAATGGGGGAGTGGGGCACGTGGAGTGACCCCAAAGTGCCCCCTCGACCCCAAAAATGCCCCCCCAGTCCCTCCCAGTTCCCTCCCAGTTCACTCCCAGTTTAATCGCAGTACATCCCAGTATATACCAGTTCACCTCCCAGTCCCTCCCAGTGCCCCCCCAATCCCTCCCAGTCCCTCCCAGTGCCCCTAATCCCTCCCAGTCCCTCCCAGTGCCTCCCAGTCCCATCCCAGTCCCTCCCAGTCCATCCCAGTCCCTCCCAATCCCTCCCAGTCCCTCCCAGTGCCCTACCAGTCCTCCCAGTCCTTCCCAGTTCACCCCAGTTCACTCCCAGTTCCATCCCAGTATATCCCAGCATACGCCAGTTCACTCCCAGTGCCTCCCAGTGCCCCCCAGTCCCTCCCAGTCCCTCCCAGTCCTCCCAGTGCCCCAATCCTCCCAGTCCCTCCCAGTCCCTCCCAGTTCACTCCCAGTCCACTCCCAGTTCAATCGCAATATATTCCAGTATATCCCAGTTCACTCCCAGCGCCTCCCAGTCCCCTCCCAGTCCCTCCCAGTCCCCTTCCAGTTCAATCCCAGTTCACTCCCAGTACCCCCAATCCCATCCCAGTGCCTCCCAGTCCCCTCCCAGTTCCCTCCCAGTTTGATCACAATATATCCCAGTATATCCCAGTTCATCCCAGTGCCCCCCAATCCCCTCCCAGTCCCTCCCAGTTCCCTCCCAATATACCCCAGTATATCCCAGCCCTCCCAGTCCCCTCCCAGTCCCTCCCAGTCCTCCCAATGCCCCCCAATTCCCTCCCAGTGCCCCCCACTCCCCTCCCAGTCCCTTCCCAGTCCCTCCCAGTCGCTCTCACCACGGGCCCAGTTCCCAGGGGGGTCCCCAGTTGGGCCCCCAGGGGGTCCCTCAGGGCCACCAGGAGGGACCCCCCGAGGGCCACCTGGAGGGTCCCCAGCAGCACCTGCGACACCTGCGGGGGCACCAGGGGCTCCCAGTTACTCCCAGTTACCTCCCAGTTACCTCCCAGTTACCTCCCAGTTACTCCCAGTTACCCCCAGTTACTCCCAGTTGGCTCCCAGTAAGAATTTGGGGCCTCCCAGTTACCCCCAGTTGGTTCCCAGTAAGAATCTGGGGCCTCTCAGTAACCCCCAGTTGGCTCCCAGTTGGGTTTGGGGCCTCCCAGTTACCTCCCAGTTACTCCCAGTTGGCTCCCAGTTGGATCCCAGTTGGGTTTGGGGTCTCCCAGTTGGCTCCCAGTAAGAATTTGGGGTCTACCAGTTGGGTTTGGGGCCTCCCAGTTACCTCCCAGTTACTCCCAGTTGGCTCCCAATTACTCCCAGTTACTCCCAGTTGGCCCCCAGTTACCCCCAGTTACTCCCAGTTGGCTCCCAGTTACCTCCAGTTACTCCCAGTTGGCTCCCAGTAAGAATTTGGGGCCTCCCAGTTACTCCCAGTTGGTTCCCAGTTGGCTCCCAGTAAGAATTTGGGGCCTCCCAGTTACCCCCAGTTGGTTCCCAATTGGCTCCCAGTTGGATTTGGGGTCTCCCAGTTGGCTCCCAGTAAGAATTTGGGGCCTCCCAGTTACCCCCAGTTACCCCCAGTTACTCCCAGTTACCTCCCAGTTACCTCCCAGTTACCCCCAGTTGGCTTCAAGTTACCCCCAGTTATCTCCCAGTTACTCCCAGTTACCTCCCAGCTACCCCCAGTTGGCTCCCAGTTGGATATGGGGTCTCCCAGTGGGCTCCCGGTAAGAATTTGGGGCCTCCCAGTTACTCCCAGTTGGTTCACAGTTGGCTCCCAGTTGGGTTTGGGGTCTCCCAGTTGGCTCCCAGTAAGAATTTGGGGCCTCCCAGTTACTCCCAGTTGGCTCCCAGTTATTCCCAGTTGGCTCCCAGTCGGTTTTGGGGCCTCCCAGTAAGAATTTGGGGCCTCCCAGTTACTCCCAGTTACTCCCAGTTGGTTCCCAGTTGGGTTTGGGGTTCCCAGTTGGTTCCCAGTTACCTCCCAGTTACCCCCAGTTGGCTCCCAGTTGGGTTTGGGGTCTCCCAGTCACCCCCAGTTACCCCCAGTTACTCCCAGTAAGGCTTTGGGGGTCACCCCGGGGTCACTTCCGGGGTCACTCCAAGCTCCTCCCCCTTTGTTTTGTCACTTCCGGGGTTACTCCAAGCCCCTCCCCCTTCCTTTCATCACTTCCGGGGTCACTCCAAGCTCCTCCCCCTTCCTTTCATCACTTCCGGGGTCACTCCAAGCCCCTCCCCCTTCCTTTTGTCACTTCCGGGTTCACTCCAAGGCCCTCCCCCTTCCCTCCTTCACTTCCGGGGTCACTCCAAGCCCCTCCCCTCACCCAAATCCGCCATTTTGGAAGATTTTCCTCTCCCTCCCTCCCCTTTTTCCTCCCTCCCCCCTCCCACCGTCACTTCCGGGGTCACCCAAGCCCCTCCCCCTTCCTTTTGTCACTTCCGGGTTCACTCAAAGCCCCTCCCCTTCTTTCATCAATTCCGGGGTCACTCCAAGCCCTCCCCCACCCCTCCCACCCCAAATCCGCCATTTTGGAAGGATCTCCTCCTCCCCACCCCCAAACTCCTCCGGGTCACTTCTGGGTCACTTAAGCCCCTCCCCTTCCTTTTGTCACTTCCGGGTTCACTCCAAGCCCCTCCCCCAACCCCAAATCCGCCATTTTGGAAGGATCTCCCCCTCCCACCCCTAAAATTCCTCCAGGGTCACTTCCGGGGTTACTCCAAGCCCCTCCCCTTCCTTTTGTCACTTCCGGGGTCACCCCAAGCCCCTCCCCACCCCAAATCCGCCATTTTGGAAGGATCTCCTCCCTCCTCCCTTTTTCCTCCCTCCTCCCCTCCCTTCGTCACTTCTGGGGTCACTCCAAGCCCTCCCCTTCCTTTCGTCACTTCCGGGTCACTCCAAGCCCCTCCCCTTCCTTTTATCACTCCGGGGTCATCCTAAGCCCCTCCCTCTTCCTTTTGTCACTTCCGGGTTCACTCCAAGCCCTCCCCTCCCCTCCATCACTTCCGGGTTCACTCCAAGCCCCTCCCCTCCCCTTCATAATTTCCGGGGTCACTCCAAGCCCCTCCCCCTTCCTTTCATCACTTCCGGGGTCACTTTAAGCCCTCCCCTCCCTCTGTCACTTCCGGGTCACTCCAAGCCCCTCCCCACCCCAAATCCGCCATTTTGAATGGGGAGGGGCTCATTTCCCCCTCTCCCTCCCCCCAATCCCAATCCTCACCCCCAGGGCCGAGGGCGCCCCCAGAGGCTCCTCTTGCGTGGGGGTGGGGAGGGGCGGGGGTCCTTAGGGCCCCTCCCCTCGTGGGGCCCCTCCCGGGCACGATCCGGGTGAGCAGCAGAAGCTCCGACATGGCCGGAAGTGAAGGGGGAGGGGAGGGCCAAATTTGGGGTGGGGAGGGGCTAAATTTGGGGTGGGGAGGGGCCAAATCTTGGGGAGGGGTTAAATTTGAGGGGGAGGGATTAAATTTGAGGGGGAGGGGTTTAAAAAATCATCTTTATTTTGATTTATTTAAGGGATTTTTGGGGTTAAAAAAGGCATTTTTGGGGGGTAAAATAAATCTTTATTTTTATTTATTTAATCGATTTTTTGGGGGGTTAAAAAAGGTGGGTTTTGGGGGGTTAAAAAATCTGAATTTTAGAGTCAAAATTGCAGATTTTTTGGGGACTAAAAATCTGATTTTTGGGGGGTTTTTAAAACTTGATTTTGGGGTGAAAAATCCCGATTTTGGGGACAAAACCCCTCCCCAAAAATGCCTCTTTTTTAAATCCACAACACTGATTTTTTGGGGTTAAAAATGCATTTTTTGGGGGGTAAAAAATACCTTTAATTTTATTTATTTCAGTGATTTTTGGGGGGTGTAAAATAAATATTTTTATTTATTTAATCGATTTTTGGAGTCAAAATTGTGGATTTTTTGGGGGGTTAAAAAATCTGAATTTTGGAGTCAAAATTGTAGATTTTGGGGGACTAAAAATCTGATTTTTGGGGGGTTTTTAAACTCGATTTTGGGGCTAAAAATCCCGATTTTGGGGGCCAAACCCCTCCCAAAAAACACCTATTTTTTTTTTCTTTAAATCATCGATTTTTTGGGGTTAAAAACAGCATTTTTGGGGTTTTTGGGGCTCCAGCAGCGCCACGCGGGGCCCCCCCAGGGTGACGATGGCGGGGGGGGGCCAGATGACGTAGGCGGCGGCCGGGCGTGACGTCATCGGTGACGTCATCGGGGCGGGCTGAAAACCAGGAAGAGAGAAAAAAAAATCACCAAAAAACCCCCGCGATTTTTACCCAAAAAAAGGGGATTTTTTTGGGATTTTTGGGGGTTTGGGGGGAGGGGGACCTCTTACCTGGGGTGGGGAGGGGCTTTGGGGGTTTTGGGGCGAGCCCGGGGGGGTTTTTTGGGGTGACCTTTGGGGTGACCCCGACGGCGGCGGCAGCAGCGGCAAAGGCGCCCCATGGAGAGCCCAAAAACAGAAAAAAACACCCCAAAATCCTGGGAAATGGCCCCAAAAATTCACCTGGAGGCGGGAAAATGAGAGAAAATAACAAAAAATGACCCAAAACGGCCCCAAAATGACCCAAAATGGTCCCAAAATGACCCAAAACGGCCCCAGAATGACCCAAAATGACCCAAAACGGCACCAAAATGACTCAAAATGGCCCAAAATGACCCAAAATGACCCCAAACAGCCCCAAAATGACCCAAAACGGCCCCAAAATGACCCAAAATGACCCAAAATGACTAAAAACAGTCCCAAAATTACCCAAAATGACTCAAAATGACCCAAAATGGTCCCAAAATGACCCAAAATGACCCAAAACGGCCCCAAAATGAACCAAAATGGTCCCAAAATGACCTAAAATTACTCAAAATGGTCCCAAAATGACCCAAAATGACCTAAAATGGTCCCAAAATGACCCAAAATGATTCCAAAATGACCTAAAACGGTCCCAAAATGACCTAAAATTACTCAAAACGGTCCCAAAATGACCCAAAATGACTCAAAACGACCCCAAAATGACCCAAAACGGCCCCAAAATGACCCAAAACGGCCCAAAATGACCCAAAATGACCCAAAACGGTCCCAAAATGAACCAAACTGGCCCCAAAATGACCCCAAACAGCCCCAAAATGACCCAGAATGACCCAAAATGGTCCCAAAATGACCCAAAATGGCCCAAAATGACCCCAAACAGCCCCAAAATGACCCAAAACGGCCCCAAAATGACCCAAAATGACCCAAAATGGTCCCAAAATGGTCCCAAAATGACCTAAAATTACTCAAAACGGTCCCAAAATGACCCAAAATGACCCAAAATGACTCAAAATGACCCAAAATGACTCAAAATGACTCAAAATGCCCCAAAATGACCCAGAATGATCCAAAAATGACTCAAAACGGCCCCAAAATGACCCAAAATGGCCCCAAAATGACCCAAAACGGTCCCAAAATGAACCAAAACGGCCCCAAAATGACCCAAAATGACTCAAAATGACCCAAAATGACCCAAAATGACCCAAAACGGCCCCAAAATGACCCAAAATACAGAAAAATTGAAGAGCCCCAAAATGCTACAAAATAACCCCAAAATCACCCAAACAGTCCTAAAATAATCCAAAAGAAACCCAAAATTACCCAAATAATCCCCAAAATTACCCAAAATAAAATCCAAAATAACCCAAATTACCCAAATAACCCCCAAAATTACCCAAAATAACACCCAAAATGACCCAAATAACTCCAAAATTACCCAAATAACCCCCAAAATTACCCAAAATAACCCCCCAAAATGACCCAAATAGTCCCAAAATTACCCAAATAACCCCCAAAATTACCCCAAAATAACACCCAAAATGACCCAAATAGTCCCAAAATTACCCAAATAACCCCCAAAATTATCCAAAATAACCCCCCAAACTGACCCAAATAGTCCCAAAATTACCCAAATAACCCCCAAAATTACCCCAAAATAACACCCAAAATGACCCAAATAACCCCAAAATGACCCAAAATAACACCCAAATTACCCAAAATAACACCCAAAATGACCCAAATAACCCCAAAATGACCCAAAATAACCCCAAAATTACCCAAAATAACACCCAAAATGACCCAAATAACTCCAAAATTACCCAAATAACCCCCAAATTACCCCAAAATATCCCCCAAATTACCTAAAATAACCCCCAAAATTACCCAAAATAGCAACAAATAACCCCCAAAATAACCCAAATAACCCCAGAATGACCCAAATAACTCCAAAATTACCCAAATAACCCCCAAATTACCCCAAAAATTCCCCAAAATCCCCCCAAATCCCCCCAAAATCCCCCCCAAATCCCCCAAATTCCTCCCGCCACTCCCCACCCCAAATCCCCCCAAATCCCCCCAAACCCCCAAAATCCCCCCAAATCCCCCCCAGCTCCCCCAAATCCCCCCAAACCCCTCCTGCCCTCCCCCACCCCAAATCCCCCCAAATCCCCCCAAATCCCCCAAAACCCCCAAATCCCCCCAAACCCCCAAAACCCCCAAAATCTCCCCAAAACCCCCCAAATCCCCCAAAACACCTCCAAAACTCCCCCAAATCCTCCAAAATCTCTAAAAACACCCCAAAACACCCCCTAAAAACCCCAAATCCCCCCAAATCCCCAAAATCCCCCCAAAACCCCCTCCTGCCCCTCCCCCACCCCCAAACCCCCCAAATCCCTTTAAAACCCCCTAAAAATCCCCAAATCCCCAAAATTCCCCAAATCCCCCCAAATCCTCTCAAATCCCCCAAATCCCCCAAATCCCCCAAATCCCCAAAATCCCCCAAATCTCCCCAAACCCCCAAATCTCCCAAAATCCTCCCAAAACCCCTCACGCCCCTCCCCCCCACCCCAAATCCCCCCAAAACCCCCCAAATCCCCCCAAAATTCCCCTGAAATCCCCCAAAATCCCTAAATCCCCTAACCCGCCCCAAATCCCTCCTGCCCCTCCCCCACCCCCAAAATCCCCCAAATTCCCCAAAATCCCCAAATCCCCCAAAATCTCCCTAAAAATCCCAAATCCTCCCCTAAACCCCCCAAAATTCCCCAAACGACCCCAAAATCTCCCCTAAATCCCCCCAAATCCCCCCAAAACTCCTCCGCCCTCCCCACCCCAAATCCCCTAAAATCCCCCAAAACACCCCCAAAATCTCCCAAAATCCCCCAAAATCCCCCAAATCCCCCCAAATCCCCCAAAATCCCCCAACCCCCAAATCCCCCAAAACACCCCCAAAATCTCCCCAAAATCCCCCAAACCCCCTAAATCCCCCAAAACCCCTTCTGCCCCTCCCCCAAACCCCAAATTCCCCAAACCCCCAAAAATCCCCCAAATCCCCCAAAATCCCTCAACCCCCAAAATCCCCCCTAAATCCCCCAAACGACCCCAAAATCTCCCTAAAAACCCCAAAATCTCCACAAAATTCCCCAAATCCCCCAAAATCTCCCTAAAAATCCCAAATCCTCCCCAAACCCCCCAAAATCCCCCTAAATCCCCTCAAATCCCCCCAAAATCCCCCAAATCCCCTCCTGCCCTCCCCCACCCCAAATTCCCCACCTCCCAAAATCTCCCAAAATCCCCCCAAATCCCCCCAAACCCCTCACGCCCTCCCCCCACCCCCAACTCCCCAAATCCCCCAAACCCCCCAAAATCCCCCCAAAATTCCCCAAAATCCCCCAAAATCTTCCAAAAACAGCCAAAAATCCCCCAAAATCCCCCCAGATCCCCCAAAATCCCCAAACTCCCCTCAAACCCCTCCTGCCCCTCCCCCCACCCCAAATCCCCCAAAACCCCAAAAATCCCCTTTTTTTGTCACCTGAACCCCTCGAGTTTCACCCCCAAACCCAAAAAAAGCTCCTTCGGTTCCTGCCAAAAAATTTTGGGGTGAGGGGAGGCCCCTAAACCCCCTCCCCCGATGACGTCATCGCGCCCTCCACCCCTTTAATTAGGCCCTGAAGTGACGTCACCGCCCCCAAAGCCTTTAATTGACCTCAAAAAAGAATTTTAATTAAAAACAACCCCTAAAAAAACCGGTCGGGGCACCCAAAAAAACCGCGATGACGTCATCGCCCCGCCCCTCCCCCTCCCTAAAAAAATTAGGTCGAGGAAGCCTCGAAAATTCGGGCTTAGAAAAACCCCAAAATTTGGGAATTCAGACCCAAAATTTGGGAATTGAGACCCAAAATTTGGGGATTCAACCCCAAAATGGGACCCAGGGCCCCAAAATTTGGGAATTCAGCCCCAAAATCCTGGAATTCAACCCCAAAATGGGACCCTGGACCCCAAAATTTGGGAATTCAACCCCAAAATGGGACCCAGGACCCCAAAATTTGGGAATTTAACCCCAAAATTTGGGGATTCAACCCCAAAATGGGATCCAGGACCCCAAAATTTGGGAATTCAACCCCAAAATCCTGGAATTCAACCCCAAAATGGGACCCTGGACCCCAAAATTCGGGAATTCAACCCCAAAATTTGGGATTTCAACCCCAAAATGGGATCCTGAACCCCAAAATTTGGGAATTGAGACCCAAAATTTGGGAATTCAACCCCAAAATGGGACCCAGGACCCCAAAATTTGGGAATTCAACCCCAAAATTTGGGAATTCAGCCCCAAAATGGGACCCTGGACCCCAAAATTTGGGAATTCAACCCTAAAATTTGGGAATTGAACCCCAAAATTGGACCCTGTACCCCAAAATTTGGGAATTCAACCCCAAAATGGGACCCAGGACCCCAAAATTCGGGAATTCAACCCCAAATTTGGACCCTGGACCCCAAAATTTGGGAATTGAGCCCCAAAATTTGGGAATTCAACCCCAAAATCCTGGAATTGACACCCAAAATGGGACCCAGACCCCCAAAATTTGGGAATTCAACCCCAAAATTTGGGAATTCAACCCCCAAATCCTGGAATTGAGCCCCAAAAAGGGACCCTGGACCCCAAAATTTGGGAATTCAACCCCAAAATGGGACCCTGGACCCCAAAATTTGGAAATTGAATCCCAAAATTTGGAAATTGAACCCAAAATTTGGGAATTGAGCCCCAAAATCTGGGAATTGAGCCCCAAAATTTGGGAATTCAACCCCAAAATGGGACCCTGAACCCCAAAATTTGGGAATTGAGCCCCAAAATTTGGGAATTCAACCCCAAAATGGGACCCTGGACCCCAAAATTTGGGAATTCAACCCCAAAATTTGGGATTTCAACCCCAAAATGGGATCCTGGACCCCAAAATTTGGGAATTCAACCCCAATATTTGGGAACTGAACCCCAAAATTTGGGAATTCAACCCCAAAATCTGGGAATTCAACCCCAAAATGAGACCCAGGACCCCAAAATTTGGGATTTTAACACCAAAATGGGACCCTGAACCCCAAAATTTGGGAATTCAACCCCAAAATGGGATCCTGGACCCCCAAAATTTGGGAATTCAACCCCAAAATGGGACCCAGACCCCCAAAATTTGGGAATTGAGACCCAAAATTTGGGAATTCAACCCCAAAATGGGACCCTGGACCCCAAAATCCTGGAATTCAACCCCAAAATTTGGGAATTGAGCCCCAAAATTGGACCCTGGACCCCAAAATTTGGGAATTCAACCCCAAAATTTGGGAATTGAACCCCAAAATTTGGGATTTCAACCCCAAAATTTGGGAATTTTAACCCAAAATTCGGGAATTCAACCCAAAAATTCGGCCCCGCCCCTTCCCTCCCCCCTAATTTGCATATTAATCACACACCACGCTACAGGGATCTCATTAAAGCTGCTCATTTGCATATTTATTAATTTATCTCTATCTCTATTCGGCATTCATTTACATCATTAGCGCTCATTTACATAATTAGCACTCATTTACATAATTGGCACGTCTCGGATATGGCACATTTGCATACGGGGGCGTGGTTTCGATGCTCATTTGCATACGGCGCTGCTCATTTGCATATGTGGGGCGTGGTGACTCGGTGGGCGTGGCTCATTTGCATACGATGACAGTGCTCATTTGCATACGAACCCCCTCATTTGCATAAAACTCCACTTTAAAAGTCCATCAATTAAAAATTCATTGGTGTTCATTTGCATGCTCATTTGCATATCAGCAGCTCTCATTTCCGGGTTTATCCCGCCCCTCATTTGCATATGCAAATGACCCCAAAGTCCCCTTTTCATGCTTTGATGAGCTCGTGATGATTTTCAGGGTGGTGATTGCTGCTCATTTGCATATTGCTTTATTATCATTATTATTATTATTTACAGTTTGTTTTTATTATTATTATTATTATTATTTTGTGCAGGATTAATTAATAAATTAATTTGCATAAAACACACACACACACAAAAAAAGTGCTTTTGTTTTTCAAGGTCCTCCCCCTCCTTCTCCTCCTCATTTGCATCTCATTTGCATGCCCGGGAGGGGCATCTCATTAACAGGTCCACCTTCATTTACTCCAATTAGTCTCATTTGCATCCTCATTTGCATACAACGTCATCTTACTCTTCATTATTGAGTATCATGTCAGAACTCCATCTAATTAGCATCCTAATTAGCATATTATGACCACACCCTCATTTACATACTGCCTAATTAGCATCCAATCCATACATAGACCCTCATTTGCATATCAATACATCCCTCATTTGCATACAATTAACCCGTATTAGTGACTCATTTAAGCTCCCTTCATTTGCATATCAAACACACCTCATTTACATCTCATTTGCATACAACAAACCCCCTCATTTACCTATTAAAGGTTTCCTTTACGCTCCATTAATTTGCATATCACAGAATCCTTATTTGCATCTCATTTGCATACGACAAAGCCTATCACAAAGCCCTAATTGGCAGATCTCAAACCCCTCATTTGCATATCATTAGCATCACATTTACAGGCCTCATTTGCATATCAAAATTTACAGGCCTCATTTGCATATCAAATCACCCACTCACTTCCCGCCCTCATTTGCATATAAGACACTCCCCTCATTTGCATCTCATTTACATATCTGACATCCTCTCGTTGCCTTAATTAAATGCCCTTTTAATTTTCCAAGCCCCGCCCCCCCTCATTTACATAACAACGACCCCACCCCCCCTCCTCGGGGCTCCTCATTTGCATAAAGTGCGTTGCTCATTTGCATAACCCCTCCCCCTCATTTACATATTGCTCATCAAGGGTTCCCCCCATTTGGAAATGGCAGAGCTCATTTGCATACGGCTCATTTGCATACGGCTCATTTGCATGCTGGCCCCGCCCCCTCCAACCCAAAAAGGGGGGGATTTGACCCCAAATTTGGGGAGGTTTGACCCCCAATTTTGGGGTGGGGGAGGGGAAAGGGGCGGGGCTTGAGGGGAGGGGTGGAAAAGACCCCAATTTAGGGCTTTTTGCCCCAAAAAATTGCAAGTTTTTGGGGGAGGGGTCGATGGGGATTTTGGAGGTCCAAGGGGTGGGGAGGGGCATTTTTTGGGGAGGGGAGGGGCATTTTTTGGGGAGGGGAGGGGCCAAATGGGGGCATTTTTGGGGGTCCAAGGGTGTGGGAGGGGCATTTTGGGGGTGGGGAGGGGAAGGGGAGGGGCCAAATGGGGGTCATTTTTGGGAGGGGGCTGGGGGTCCAAGAGGTGGGGAGGGGCATTTTTGGGGATGGGGAGGGGCCAAATGGGGGTCATTTTGGGGGTGCAAGGGTGGGGAGGGGAATTTTTTGGGGGTCCTGAGGGGGTCTCTGATGGGTGGGTGGGGTTCAATTTTAGGGGTGGGGAGGGGCCAAATAGGGGTCATTTTGGGGGGTCCAAGGGGTGGGGAGGAAGTTTTGGGGGTGGGGGAGGGGCCAAATGGGGTCATTTTTGGGGGGGTTAGGGGTCCAAGAGGTGGGGAGGGCATTTTTGGGGATGGGGAGGGGCCAAATGGGGGTCATTTTGGGGGTGCAAGGGGTGGGGAGGGGAATTTTGGGGGTCCTGGAGGGGTCTCTGATGGGTGGGTGGGGTTCAATTTAGGGGTGGGGAGGGGCCAAATAGGGGTCATTTTGGGGGTCCAAGGTGGGAGGGGCATTTTGGGGGTCATTTTGGGGTCCAAGGGTGGGGGAGGGGCATTTTTGGGGGTCATTTTGGGGGTCCAAGGGGTGGGGAGGGGCATTTTTGGGGGTCCTTGGGGGTATCTGATGAGTAGGGGGTCAATTTTGGGGGGTGGGAGAGGGATTTGGGGGACTTAGGGGTTCAATGGGGTGGGGAGGGAATTTTTGGGGTCCTGGGGGTGTCTCTGATATGGGGGTGTCAATTTTGGGGGTGGGGGGAGGGAAGGGGGTCAGGGAGTTTTGGGGGGTCAGAGGTGTCAGGAGGGTCGGGGGTTTTGGGGTCTGGGGTTCAGGGGAGTTTTGGGGAGGGTCAGGGTGGTCTGGGGGGTCAGAGGGGTTTTGGGGGTCCAGGGGGATCAGAGACATTTGGGGGTCCAGGAGGGGCTCAGGGGTTTTGGGGGGTCAGGGGCGGTCAGGGAGGTCTGGGGTAGTCCAGGGGAGTTTGGGGGGGATCCAGGGGGTCCAAGGGTTTTGGGGGTGTCCAGGGGGTCAGGGGTTTTGGGGGGTCCAGGGGGTCAGAGGGATTTGGGGGAGTCAGGGGGTCAGGGGTTTTGGGAGGTCTGGAGGGGTCAGGGGTTTTGGGGGGTCAGGGGTTTTGGGGAGGGTCCAGGGGGGTCAGGGAGTTTTTGGGGGTCAGGGGTTTTGGGGGTCTGGGTGGGGTCAGGGGGATCAGAGGGATTTGGGGAGTCAGGGGGTCAGGGAGTTTTTGGGGGTCAGGGGTTTTGGGGGGTCTGGTTGGGGTCAGGGTGGTCTGGGGGGTCAGGGTGGTCATAGGGGGTCAGGGAGTTTTGGGGGTCAGAGGGATTTGGGGGTCAAGGGAGGTTCAAGGGGTTTTGGGGGTCCGGGGGTCAGGGAGTTTTGGGGCAGTCAGGAGGTCTGAGGGGTCAGGGGTTTTGGGGATCCAGGGGGGTCAGGGGTTTTGGGGGATCTGGGTGGGTCAGGGGGACTCAGAGAGATTTGGGGGTCCAGGGGGTCTGGGTGGGGTCAGGGGTTTTGGGGGTCCAGGGGGTCACTCTGCCACCTGGACCCCGCACAGTTCTCTTTGCTCTCCGAGGTGATGGCCAAGTATTCGGACCTGGGGAGGGGGAGGGGTTTGAGACCCCCATATTACCCCCCAAACTTTCCCCAACCCTCCTCTTCGGGACCACGCCCCTTCTAGACTCCACCCACCCCCTTTAGACCACGCCCACACTTTGCAAGCCACGCCCCAAATCCCCCCAATCCCCCCACAAAGTTCATCCCAACCCCCTCCCTTTCTAAGACCACGCCCACCGCTTCTAGACCCCGCCCCTAATCTACAAACCACGCCCCCTCCCTTAAAAGCCACGCCCCAAAACCCTTCAATCCCCCAAAACCCCCAAAACCCCTCCTTGCCCCCCACCCATTTCAAACCCACACCCCCCCAAAACTCTCCCAAATTTTTAAGCCCTGCCCTCTCCCCTACAAACCACGCCCCATCCTACAAACCACGTCCTAAAACCCCCAATAACCCCCCCAAACCCCCCAAAACCCTCCTTGCCCCCCACCCTTTCAAAACCAACCCCAAACTCCACCCAAATTTTTAAGCCACGCCCCTTAGACCACACCCCCACCCTTCAAGCCACGCCCCAAACCCCTTCAATCCCCCCAAAACCCCCAATAACTCCCCAAACTTCCCCCAAACCCCACCCATTTCAAACCCACACCCCCAAACCTTCCCAAATTTTTAAGCCACGCCCACTTTAGACCACACCCCCAAAAACCCCTGCCCCAACCACCCAAATCCCCCCAAAACTTCCCTCCAACCTACCCAATAACCCCCCAAACTTCCCCCAAACCCCACCCATTTCAAACCCACACCCCCAAACCCACCCAAATTTCTCAAGCCACGCCCACTTTAGACCACACCCCCCAACAAAACCCTCCCCCAACCCCACCAATAACCCCCCAAACTTCCCTCCAACCCCCCAAAAACCACTCCTTGCCCCCCACCCATTTCAAACCCACACCCCCAACCTTCCAAAATTTTTAAGCCCCTGCCCCTTCTTGGCCCCTCCCCCCAAAGCCCCTCCCCCACTCACGCGCTGTCGGGGGGCGGGGCGGCGGCCGCCACCTTGCGGTAGCAGTAGAGCATCTCGGCCGCCAGCCAGAGCGTCAGCACCACGATCAGCACGTACATCAGGATCTCCGACACGATCGACGCCAGGTCACGACGGGCTATGGGGGAGGAGGAGCCACCTCAGGACACGCCCACTTAGCCAAGGACACGCCACCCGTGAGGAAAACCCGCCACAATCAGCACGGGACATCAGGATCTCGGACACGATCGACGCCAGGTCACGGCGGGCTGGGGGGGGAGGAGCCACCTCAGGACACGCCCACCCCCCAAAAAACCCCGCCCAGATAGGTTTAGCCACGCCCACACAGCGGGGGTTGGAAGGTGCACTGTGTCCTGACACACCCACTGGCTCAGAAGCCACGCCCATGACTCCACAAACCACGCCCACTCATCAGAAGCCACGCCCAGTCTATTTAAGCCACGCCAAGCCACGCCCAGATAGGTTTAGCCACGCCCACACAGCGGGGGTTGGAAGGGGTGTAATTGCGGTCCTGGACACACCCACTGGCTCAGAAGCCACGCCCATGACTCCATAAACCACGCCCACTCATCAGAAGCCACGCCCAGTCTATTTAAGCCACGCCCAGTCAGTTTAAGCCACGCCCACTGAGTGTAAGACACGCCCATATAAGAAGTGGAAGAGAAGGAGCTGGGAGGTGATGAAGGAGCTCAGGCCACGCCCACTGGTTCAGAAGCCACGCCCATTTAGCCAAAGACACGCCCACCCGTGAGGAAAACCCCGCCCACAATCAGCAGGGGACATCAGGATCTCCGACACGATCGACGCCAGGTCACGACGGGCTGGGGGGTGAAAATGGGCGGGGCCACCTCAGGACACGCCCACTTCCCAAAAAACCCCGCCCAGATAGGTTTAGCCACGCCCACACAGCGGGGGTTGGAAGGGGTGTAATTGCGGCCCTGGACACGCCCACAGGCTCAGAAGCCACGCCCATTCATCATAAGCCACGCCCATTCACCAGAAGCCACACCCACTCAGTTTAAGCCATGCCCACCCACTGCAAGCTCCGCCCACTCCGCCCATTGGAAGAGGTAGAGAAGGAGCTGGGAGGTGATGAATGAGCTCAGGACACGCCCACTGGCTCAGAAGCCACGCCCATTCATCCTAAGCCATGCCCATTCACCACAAGCCACGCCCACTCGTGAGAAAACCACGCCCAGATAGGTTTAGCCACGCCCACTCAGTGTGGGTTTTGGGAGGTGGAATTGCGGCCCTGGACACACCCACAGGCTCAGAAGCCACGCCCATGACTCCATAAGCCACGCCCACTCAGCCTAAGCCACGCCCACTCATCAGAAGCCACGCCCACTTGGTTTAAGCCACGCCCATTGAGTCTAAGCCATGCCCATATAGGGAGGGGAGGAGGAGGAGCTGGGAGGTGATGAACGAGCTCAGGCCACGCCCACTGGTTCAGAAGCCACGCCCATTCATCTTAAGACACACCCATTCATCCTAAGACACACCCATTCATCAGAAGCCACGCCCAGATAGGTTTAGCCACGCCCACATAGTGGGGGTTGGAAGGGGTGTAATTGCGGCCCTGGACACGCCCGCAGGCTCAGAAGCCACGCCCATGACTCCATAAACCACGCCCACTCAGCATAAGCCACGCCCAGTCAGCATAAGCCACGCCCAGTCAGTTTAAGCCACGCCCACTGAGTACAAGACACGCCCATATAAGAAGTAGAAGGGGAGGAGCTGGGAGGTGATGAACGAGCTCAGGACACGCCCACTGGCTCAGAAGCCACGCCCACTCAGCCTAAGCCACGCCCATTCATCATAAGCCATGCCCACCCATGAGGAAAACCCCGCCCACAATCAGCACGGGACATCAGGATTGGGGCGGGGCCACGTCAGGACACGCCCACCCCCCAGTCCATCCCAATCCTCTCCCAGTGCCCCCCAATCCCTTCCCAGTCCAACCCAATCCTCTCTCAGTCCCTCCCAGTGCCTCCCACTCCCCTCCAACTCCCTCCCAATCCCCTCCCAGTCCATCCCAGTTGTTCCCAATCCCCTCCCAGTGCCTCCCAGTGCCCTCCCAGTACCCTTGTCGACCACGGCGAGGCGCAGGGTCTGGTTGCGGGCCAGGCTGTAGGTGCAGCCCCCTCCCAGTCCCTCCCTCCCAGTCCATCCCAGTGCCTCCCAGTGCCCCCCAATCCCCTCCCAGTCCATCCCAGTGCATCCCAATCCCCTCCCAGTGTCCCCCAATCCCCTCCCAGTCCATCCCAGTGCCTCCCAATCCCCTCCCAGTCCTTCCCAGTCCTCTCCCAGTCCCTTCCTACTCTCTCTCATTCCCCTCCCAGTCCACCCCGGTGCCCCTAAATCACCTCCCAGTCCATCCCAATCCCCTCCAAGTCCATCACAATCATCTCCCAGTGCCCCCCAATCCCCTCCCAGTCCCTCCCAGTGCATCCCAATCCCCTCCAAGTCCATCACAATCATCTCCCAGTGCCCCCAGTCCCCCCAGTCCTCCCAGTCCCTCCCAGTCCCCCAGTCCCTCCCAGTCCCTCCCAGTTCCCTCCCAATCCCTCCCAGTCCCTCCCAGTGCCCTCCCAGTACCCCTTCTCAACTCCCCTCAGTCCCATCCCGTATCCAGTGCCTGTGCCCAGTCCCAGCCCTCCCAGTCCCTCCCAATCCCCTCCCAGTCCATCCCAGTGCCTCCCAGTGCCCTCCCAGTCCCTCCCAGTCCATCCCAGTGCCTCCTAATCCCCCTCCCAGTCCTCCCAGTCCCTCCCAGTCCATCCCAGTGCCCTCCAATCCCTCCCAGTCCTTCCCAGTCTCTCCCAGTCCTCCTAGTCCTCCAGTCCCCCAGTCCCTCCCAGTCCTCCCAGTGCCTCCCAATGCCCTCCCAGTCCCTCCCAGTCCCCTCCAAGTCCATCCCAGTCCCCTCCCAGTGCCCCTAACTCTCCCAGTCCTCCTCCCAGTCCATCCCAGTTCCTCCCAGTCCCCATCCCAATCCACCTCCCAGTGCCCCCAATCCCTCCCAGTCCCTCCCAGTGCCTCCCAGTCCCCTCCCAGTCCCTCCCAGTCCCTCCCAGTGCATCCCAATCCTCTCCCAGTCCCTCCCATTCCCTCCAACTCTGCTCCAACCTCCTCCAACTCCCTCCCAGTCCCTCCCAGTGCCTCCCACTCCTCCAACTCCCTCCACTGCCTCCTCACTCCTCCCAATCCTCTCCCAGTCCCTCCCAGTCCCTCCCAGTCCCTCCCAGTGCCTCCCAGTACCCTTGTCGACGCCCGGCAGGCGCAGGGTCTGGTTGCGGGCCAGGCTGTAGGTGCAGCCCCTCCCAGTCCCTCCTCCCAGTCCATCCCAGTGCCTCCCAGTGCCCCCAATCCCCTCCCAGTCCTCCCAGTGCATCCCAATCCCCTCCCAGTGCCCCCAATCCCTCCCAGTGCCCCTAATCCCCTCCCAGTCCTCCCAGTCCTCTCCCAGTCCCTTCCCACTCTCTCTCATTCCCTCCCAGTCCCCTCCCAGTCCCCTCCCAGTCCCATCCCAGTGCCCCCCAATCCCTCCCAGTCCCTCCCAATCCTCTCCCAGTGCCCCCAATCCCTTCCCAGTCCCTCCCCAATCCTCTCCCAGTCCATCCCAGTCCCCTCCCAGTCCCTCCCAGTCCCTCCCAATCCTCCCAGTGCCCCCAATCCTCTCCCAGTCCTCCCAGTCCCTCCCAGTCCCTCCCAGTGCCTCCCAATCCCTCCAATCCCTCCCAGTCCCTCCCAGTCCCCTCCCAGTCCCCCTAGTCCTCCCAGTCCCTCCCAGTCCTCCCAGTGACCCCCAATCCTCCCAGTCCCTCCCAATTCCTCCCAGTACCTCCTGTCCGACCTCCCAGTGCCTCTCCGAATCCACGCTCCCAGTGCAGCCCCTCCCAGTCCCTCCTCCCAGTCCACTCCCAGTCCCTCCCAGTGCCTCCCAATCCCCTCCCAGTCCCTCCCAGTGCTCCCAATCCCCTCCCAGTGCCCCCCAATCCCCTCCCAGTGCCCTCCCAATCCCTCCCAGTCCCTCCCAGTCCTATCCCAGTCCTCCTCTCTCTCTCATTCCTCCAGTCCCTCCCAGTCCCCTCCCAGTCCTATCCCAGTGCCCTCCCAATCCCTCCCAGTCCCTCCCAGTCATCTCCCAGTGCCCCCAATCCCTTCCCAGTCCCTCCCAATCCTCTCCCAGTCCATCCCAGTCCCCTCCCAGTGCCTCCCAGTCCCCTCCCAATCCATCCCAGTGCCCCCAATCCCCTCCCAGTCCCTCCCAATCCCATCCCAGTCCCTCCCAGTGTCCCCCAATCCCCTCCAACTCCTCCCAGTCCCTCCCAATCCTCCCAGTCCCTCCCAGTCCCCCCAATCCCTCCCAGTTCCTCCCAGTGCCCTAATCCCCTCCCAGTGCCTCCCAGTGCCTCCCAGTACCCTCTGTCTCGACGGCGAGGCCAGGGTCTGGCTCAGTCCAGGCTCTGCAGCCCCTCCCAGTCCCTCCCTCCCAGTCCATCCCAGTCCATCCCAATCCCCTCCCAGTCCATCCCAGTGCATCCCAATCCCCTCCCAGTGTCCCCCAATCCCCTCCCAGTCCATCCCAGTGCCTCCCAATCCCCTCCCAGTCCATCCCAGTCCCCTCCCAGTCCATCCCAGTCCACCCCAATCGTCTCCCAGTCCATCTCAATCCTCTCCCAGTGAATCCCAGTCCTCTCCCAGTCCCTTCCTACTCTCTCTCATTCTCCTCCCAGTCCATCCCGGTGCCCCTAAATCACCTTCCAGTCCCTCCCAATCCTCTCCCAGTCCATCCCAGTGCATCCCAATCCCCTCCCAGTCCATCCCAATCCCCTCCCAGTCCCTCCCAGTGCCCCCCAATCCCCTCCAACTCCCTCCCACTGCCTCTCACTCCCTCCCAATCCCCTCCCAGTCCATCCCAGTGCCTCCCAGTGCCTCCCAGTGCCCTCCCAGTACCCTTGTCGACGACGGCGAGGCGCAGGGTCTGGTTGCGGGCCAGGCTGTAGGTGTAGCCCTCGAAGGTGAGGTTGCGGCGCAGGCGGCACACGTAGAGCCCGGCGTGGGCGTGGCCGACCTCGCTCAGCGCCACCGACAGGTCCTGCAGGTCCCGCGTGCCCTTCGAGCCGTTCCAGCTCAGCACCCCCAGGAAAGGGCCCGGGGCCACCCAGGGCTGCTCCTCCTCGGGGTTGTAGTGCAGGATCTGGGGCACGGGGAACCAGTAAATACCAGTTAAAACCAGTATAAAATTGCTATCTCACTATCGCCACCCAGTGGTCACTTTGGGAACTGCAGCCTCTCATTAATAGTTCCCAGTGACTCCCAGTGACTCTCAGTAGCTCTTAGTAACTCCCAGTATCCCCCAGTAGCTCCCAAGTGGCTCCCCAGTGTCTCCCAGTATCCACCAGTAACTCCCCAGTAGCTCCCCAGTGTCTCCCAGTATGCCCCAGTGGTTCCCAGTAATCCCCAGGAAAGGGCCCGGGGCCACCCAGGGCTGCTCCTCCTCGGGGTTGTAGTGCAGGATCTGGGCCATGGGGAACCAGTAAATACCAGTTAAAACCAGTATAAAGCCAGTATAAAATTCCTATCTCACTATCGCCACCCAGTGGTCAATTCGGGAATTGCAGCCTCTCATTAACAGTTCCTAGTAGCTCCCAGTGCATCCCAGTAGCTCTTAGTAGCTCCCAGTATCCACCAGTAGCTCCCAAGTGTCTCCCCGTATCCACCAGTACAGCCCCAGTAGCTCCCCAGTGTCTCCCAGTATCCACCAGTAGCTCCCCAGTGGTTCCCCAGTAACTCCCAGTAACCCCCAGGAAAGGGCCCGGGGCCACCCAGGGCTGCTCCTCCTCGGAGTTGTAGTGCAGGATCTGGGGCACGAGGAACCAGTAAATACCAGTTAAAACCAGTTAAAATCAGTTAAAACCAGTAAAGAATCAGTTAAAACCAGTATAAAATTGATATCTCTCTGTCGCCACCCGGTGGTCATTTTAGGAACTGCAGCGTCTTCCCAGTTGCTCCCAGTGACTCCCAGTAGTTCCCAATAGCTCCAATAGCTCCCCAGTAACTCCCAGTATCCCCCAGTAGCTCCCCAGTGTCTCCCAGTACAGCCCCAGTAGCCCCAAGTATCCACCAGTAGCTCCCCAGTGTCTCCCAGTATGCCCCAGTGGTTCCCAGTAATCCCCAGGAAAGGGCCCGGGGCCACCCAGGGCTGCTCCTCCTCGGGGTTGTAGTGCAGGATCTGGGGCACGGGGAACCAGTAAATACCAGTTAAAACCAGTTAGAATCAGTTAAAACCAGTAAAAAACCAATATAAAATCTGTATCTCTCTGTCGCCACCCGGTGGTCACTTCGGGAATTGCAGCCTCTCATTAACAGTTCCCAGTAGCTCCCAGTGCATCTCAGTAGCTCTTAGTAACTCCCAGTATCCCCCAGTACAACCCCAGTAACTCCCCAGTGTCTCCCAGTATCCACCAGTAACTCCCCAGTAGCTCCCCAGTGTCTCCCAGTATGCCCCAGTGGTTCCCAGTAACCCCCAGGAAAGGGCCCGGGGCCACCCAGGGCTGCTCCTCCTCGGAGTTGTAGTGCAGGATCTGGGGCACGAGGAACCAGTTAGAACCAGTTAAAACCAGTAAAAAATCAATATAAAATTGATATCTCTCTGTCGCCACCCAGTGGTCACTTTGGGAACTGCAGCGTCTTCCCAGTAGCTCCCAGTGCCTCCTAGTAGCTCCCAGTGCCTCCCAGTAACTCCCAGTATCCCCCAGTAGCTCCCAAGTGTCTCCCAGTATCCACCAGTAGCTCTCCAGTGTCTCCCCAGTGTCTCCCAGTATCCACCAGTATCTCCCAGTCCCTCTCACTTGCTCCCAGTCCCTCCCAGTGCCCCCCAATCCCCTCCCAGTCCATCCCAGTGCCCCTCAATCCCCTCCCAGTGCCCCTTTATCACCCTCCCAGTCCATCCCAGTGGCTCCCAGTTTATTCCAATCTGCTCCCAGTTTATCCCAGTTTATCCCAGTCTATCCCAGTTTATCCCAGTGACCTTCTGGAAGGTGGGGGCCCCCTCAGGGCGGAAGAACCACTCGCTCTCGGCCTCGGCGGGGGTCTCGCCAGTCCCTCCCAGTGCCCTCCCAGTCCCTCCCAGTGCCCTCCCAGTCCCTCCCAGTGGCTCCCAGTTTATCCAATCCTCCCAGTGGCTCCCAGTAGTTCCCAGTCCATCCTAGTCCCTTCCCAGTCCCTCCCAGTGCCTCCCAATCCCCTCCCAGTGCCTCCAAATCCCCTCCCAGTGCCCCTTTATCACCCTCCCACTCCCTCCCGGTCCATCCCAGTGCCTCCCAATCTGCTCCC